GACATGTTATGTGAACCCTATGTTGACACGTTATGTGAACCCTATGTTGACATGTTATGTGAACCCTATGTTGACATGTTATGTGAACCCTATGTTGACATGTTATGTGAACCCTATGTTGACATGTTATGTGAACCCTATGTTGACATGTTATGTTATGTGAACCCTATGTTGACATGTTATGTGAACCCTATGTTGACATGTTATGTGAACCCTATGTTGACATGTTATGTGAACCCTATGTTGACATGTTATGTGAACCCTATGTTGACATGTTATGTGAACCCTATGCTGACATGTCCTGTGTGTTCACAAATTGATTGGTCAATATGCTTTTGAGTTAGTGAATGAGTTAATATTTATCGTCACATCGGCAATAGTTCAGCCATATCTTGACGATAACAGTTTATAATTATATTAAAGGTCAATAAAGTTTAAAATTAAAAAAACTTGTTGACGAAGAACAGTAAAACTTCTAGTGTATCACAGATATCCATTTAAAACTAGGAATTAAATCTAAAATATTGGAACTATAAATGACAGTACAATATAAAAACAGGCAAAAGATTGCCAACGGCTGAAGGGTAGATCACCATACTTGGGACCATAGGGACTTACAGTGCATTTGCTTCCTGCATGCACCCTAGCTGGATTTACATCATCCCCCTCGGCCGTTAGCAATTTAGACACATCTAGCCATACATTTAAAAACACACATATTCTACGATTCAAAATAGCGGAGAGTTTCAATTTACTTTGAATGTTTGTGGACTTACGTATCCTCTCAGGGGGACAATAATTTTACAGTACTTTAACCCCCCTCGAGGATACAGCCACTAACAATCTGAGTTATTAATTCAAACTTCCAATCATTAAATATTTATCTACATGTATTTACAAATCAGTTAACAAATCTAATTCTTTTAAAAATGCATTAATTAATCGAGAACTTATATAACTAAAAGGATCCTTCATAGTTCGTGATTGAAAATAGATATCCCTTGTGATGGAACATTCAACACAGTCTTTCTTTCTTTCATCACAAGGGATACAAAACGGAGGATCCTCACCTTGTAAGAGGTACTCATGAGTACATCTTGTGTGGCCAATACGACATCGTCGCGTAATGACATCCTCAAATCTGGACTGACAACCCAAGTGAGTGTAACAAATATAAGGTTGTATTTCATGTAATTTGTTATACCTACTTGGGTGTTCCACTCTTTTCGCATCAGATCACGGATGTAGGTTCGAATGCTAGCTTTGTAATCAGAGTATGGGATAAGAAGTGGTGTCACAGATTTGTTGAGTGCTGCCTTAGCAGCAAGATCGGCCATTGTGTTCCCAGAATTGCCAACGTATATGGGTAACCAACAAAAGACGATGTCGCATTGGCCAGTAGCAAGATCATTATCCAATTCAATAATTTCTAATAAAAGTGGATGTTTACAAGAAAGATTTTTAATAGCCTGAAGACATGAAAGAGAATCGGAAAAGATTTACGGTGTTTTTTAAATATATTTAAGAGCTGTTAATATGGCGTAAGCTTCTGCTGTGAAAATAGAGCTGTTATTTGGTAGTAGGAGATATTGTTCTGGATCCAATGACAGTGGCACATGCTACCGCGCCACCATCCTTGGACCCAACTGTAAATGAGGATTTGTATGTATTATTTTTACTTTTTAATTGATTATATTCTTCTTTATATTGTAATTCATTAGTTTCTGCTTTTTTAAATGAAGTTAAAAGGTGATAATGTATGGTATCAGCTCCTGTAGCAGTATCGTGAGCTTGCTCAAGAGCAGTATGGAGCTCATGAATAGAAAATAGTTCATTATAATCTTCTCCATTATCTGACTTGAAATTAATAGATTTGTTTTCTTGTTGTTTTTGATATTGTTGGAATTTAGGCACATACTTAGAAGAGGAAGGGAGTTTAGCGAGAGTTTCACCCAGTTTAATTGCAATATCTGATTTATCAATAAGTAATTGATCTCCATGTTTAAGATGATGACGCTAGATTTAGTACCTTTACCTTAAATTTTCTGTACCATGTTCCATACTTTGGACATGGGCGTTCGAGAATTTATTTTGGATGCATAATTTTTCGAAGATTGGCCTTTATTCTGTTTAAATGTATGCCGCGCTTTAGCATTTAAAATTTAAAATTTGTTTAAATTATGCACCATAGGGTGGCAACGGAAATAACGTTCTGCTTTTTTCCTTGCCTTCCTAGCTTGTTTGCACTCATCGTTGAACCATGGTTTTCGAATATGTGGAATCGCAGAGGACTTTGGTATGCACTCATCAGCTATGATGTTCAGTTCATCGGAAAAACATTTGATAGCATCAGGAACGTCAATAAAAAGTTCAGGTTTAAGGTTTGCAGCACACAGTGTTTCATATAGAGCCCAGTTAGCCTTTTAAAATCCCGCCGTGATGAGGGAGGAACATCAGATGGAGTTACTGGTTTTAGTATAGTGGGGAAAATGGTCACTTCCACAGAGGTCATCATGGACTGACCATTCAAATTCATTCAGTAGTTCTGAATTTATGACTGACAAGTCGAGAGCAGAATAGGTTCCTGTACCAGGGTGTAAATATGTGTTGGAACCATCATTACAAATACATACATCATTATCTGAACAAAACTCCTCCAGTAGTTTACCTTTAGCGTTTGTAGTTGCACCACCCCAGAGTGGATTGTGCCCATTTAAATCTCCCATGATAATACATGGTTTAGGCAGCTGGTCAAATAGAGCTTGAAGATCGGTTTTGTGAAACGTTGAAGACGGAGAGATATATACAACAGAGCATAATGTAAACGCAACATGTAACGTAATTCGCACTGCAACAGCCTGCAGATTGGTAGTTAGTGAAACAGGGCTATGGATAACGTTCTGTTTGACTAGGATGGAAGATCCTCCCGTGGCTCTGTCACCCGAAGGTGAAAAACAATGATATGCATTGAAAAAACGCAGGACACAAACATCAGCCTGTTATAAATAGACTGCAGACAGAACGCTGATGGTGTTAAATCCTGGACTAAAAGCTGCAATTCATTGAAATTAGTCCTTAGTCCTTTGCAGTTCCACTGTATGATATTATTCTGATAACCTATCTGTTCGGGGGATTTATTGGGGGTCCACCCCGCACATTTTAGGTGGACGACAAGCTATGTGCCCTACAACGGACGTTTTCGGACACGTCCATATACTCAACAGATCCATATTGGTTGTAAAGTTGAATTTTATTTTCTGACCCTTTTTGGGCTCTGCCACTGTATTTTTTTTAAGAATCTGTTTACTTTTGATTTTAACGAGGCCTTGCTGAGACTTTGTTGATGACTGAGAAGATTGGTCATGATCAAGGGGTGTCTCTGATTGGGTTCGAGATGTACCAGGAAGTGATGCTCCTGGCAATGGAAGCATAGCTTTCTGTCTGTACTGAGCTTTGGGCTAATTTCTTTGCTTCTGCAAAACTAATGCTTTGCGTGAATTTTATTTTGTTGATGGCCATTTGCTGTTTCCAAACGGGGCAGTCTTTAGAGTAAGATGGGCGATTCCCTGCGCAGTTAGTGCACTTTTTGACAATACTGTCACAATCTTCTGTTGTGTGTGTCTTTTCACCACAGTGAGCACACACAACAGACAATGTGCAAGTATTTACGCTATGGCCAAACTTCTGACATTTGAGAGGGTTTGGAATGTATGTGTTGGTTTTAATGGTTGTGTCGTTTTTACGGGTTGAGAAGCGTTTAACATAGAGTACACCCTGATCTTTCATCTCGGAGACGATATCTAATTCCGACATATCAGCCAGCAATCGCTCACGATCTCTAACAATTCCCTTGCTCGTATTAAGGGTCTTCTGAGCCGTGACGGTGACAAGAATGGCGACAAAAGTTTTGGTGTTCAATAGGTTGGTTGACTCGATCAACAGCGCACGAGAACGTAATCTTTTAATGTTCTTCACATCGCCGGCAATACCTTGGATACCCTTAGACACAGCAACAGGGTTCAATATTAATGGTGTCATATCTTTTGTCTCAATGACAACAAAACGTGGCCAGTAATCAGTTGGTTTGGGCAGTCTGAGTTCGTTGTGAACAGGGTCCTTGTCAAGAGGACGTTTGGTTTTTGGTTGGAGTTTCATAAGCCATGGTTATTTTGTTAGATTTCATCATCTGAGCTCCCCACCCACCACGGAGTATCACAAGGACAATGCTAAAAACAAGTGGATCTCCGACTTGCAGCACCAGGGATACCAGGATGATATACTCCAGCAGAAAAATTAAAGAATAAATTATTCTACTAGATTGGCCCATGAGCCACCGCCTTCTGGGCATAGAACTCTAGGCATATTAACAATTGTTGAAATTTGGAACCAATACATGTACGGTGAAATAATTTTGCCAATACCCAAAACAGGATCATTTACAAAAATCAAATTTGTGCAGTATCAAATACAATGCACAGGGCATGACATGACCAGCCGATTGGTTGAACCAGGCCCATTCAACCACCCGTCTAGGTGAAGTAAGGGGCGAAGTGATGTGTTGGGCAAAGGAGCGCTATTCCTGGAACCAGTGCCCTCAACCACCAGACTCCCGCCCTCCACCGACACAGGGGCGCAACCCACGGCAAACGGGTTGGTGGACCAAATATACCCCCGGGTCCACAACCGGGTGTTGAAGAGCGCTTAGCGTTACCCAGCACCTACCACGAGGAGGTGGCTCTTCACGGTTGCCAATAAGCATTTGAAATAAGGGTAGTTTAACAGTGCCATATACGGAAATGAAAGGTTTCCACTAAAAAACACAGAAAGTTTACCTCCGACATATCGATTCAAAAGCAGAAGACACATACTTAGTACGTATGCAGTATGACTGTAAACACTGAGTAAATTATAACGAAATGATAATGTTATTCTCCTATCTTTCGGTTGTAATGTCAAGATAGAACGTTAATTAAGCGACTAATCTCTGCTGAAACTCTCACCTGCTGTAGTTCCAGGATACGTCGTTGTCCTTTGATCACACAGGTCAGCTGCCGTCTGATCCAGCTGCAGCTGTAGTGAACCGAGGTCTTTGGTCAACATGCGACGTAGTTTTCGTAGACTCTTTCTGTAAGTGTCTCTTTCCTGTTGTACACGTCTTAATTCTTGTGTTATAGTGTTCAATCGTGTCTTTATATTTTGTGCATTGGCTTTTACACTGTCAACTTCAGCGGACACCAGTCCCACCTGTCTCGTCAAGGCATTCATACTGGCAATAATATCAACAGTTTTCAATTTCCATGTTCCGAGGTCCTCTTCCACCACTGCCACTCGTGCAGTCAAGGTTGGAGCAGCCTGTACGTCTCTGATACCAAATACCACAAGACTGAAGAACATTACAGTTAATACCTCCATCGTGCAAGTGTGCAGAACGCAGCTAGGAAGACGACTGCCTCGCCGCCGGGTAAACGGCTTTAATATAGCCCGACTCAAGTGTTTGGCAGAATGCCAGCTCGGGGAAACACCAGTAGTGTACGTACACGTGACATCATAACACCCAACATGGCGGATACCTACCTGAGGATATGAGATGGATATCCAGTGCCAGGTAGCCAGCAAACACAACACTTCGGTGTATTGTCACTTTTAAAGTAACATCAAATATACTGTAACACGTGTTATAGTTGGGATACACCTTCTCGGTGATGTACAGATTCTAGTACTTCTGTTGGATTGAGTCCACAGAAGGCTACACTCAAGTATATCGATAGCTTTCGGTCGTGACAATTTTCACTTATCAGAGGGTGCACAAAGTCGGTGGTCTAGAGTACCGGTTGTACGACTTTCATTGTTATGGAGGCCGCGGTGGCTGAATGGGTTAGACGGCTGACTTTGTGTGCTGGCGATTAGGTGCCTGGCTCTGAGAGTGTGGGTTCCGTTGCCGGATGAGACTCAACCCAACAAAACAGATATTGGTGCATATTCCTGTAGTTGAACCCCAAATAAAACACCTCCTAGGTTTATTGTATAATACCAGGGATAATCTATAGTCTCCCTGATAATACATACCAGGTCCTTTATGTATTACTGTCCAGGATATACATTGCATGCATTACATTACAGGGGCTGTAGGGTAGCCTAATGGTTAAAGCTTCTACTCGTCACGCTGAAGGTTCGATTCCCCACATGGGTACAATGTTTGAAACCCATTACATTACAGGGGCTGTAGGGTAGCCTAATGGTTAAAGCTTCTACTCGTCACGCTGAAGGTTCGATTCCCACATGGGAACTCTGCTTATGTCCTGTAATCCTGCTGATATTCTACAGCCACTACCATTGTGTTTCCTTTGTGATCCTCATACACCTGTATGGTGTCTCTGCTTATGTCCTGTAATCCTGCTGATATTCTACAGCCACTACCATTGTGTTTCCTTCCTTATGGTGTCTCTGCTTATGTCCTGTAGTCCTGCATACAGCCACTACCATGTGTGGTGATCCTCTCTGCCTTATGTGTCTCTGCTTATGTCCTGTAGTCCTGCTGATATTCTACAGCCACTACCATTGTGTTTCCTTTGTGATCCTCATACACCTGTATGGTGTCTCTGCTTATGTCCTGTAATCCTGCTGATATTCTACAGCCACTACCATTGTGTTTCCTTTGTGATCCTCATACACCTGTATGGTGTCTCTGCTTATGTCCTGTAATCCTGCTGATATTCTACAGCCACTACCATTGTCTTTCCTTTGTAGAGATGTGTGAATTAGGTACTTTATAAAAATACATTTGTTAATTATTCCAAATGTTATGGTGTTTCACGGACGGATTTCCGGGTAACTTATAGTTCAACTAGGGAATCAACATGTAACAAAGAATTGCATACATGAGCAGTAATTTACTCCACAACATGCAACACCAGAATCACATTTGTAAAAGTGTCAATGTAAGATGCCACTTGCGTCGTTTTGTGAGACAAGAGAAGTACATACACTTAAAGCTGAGACTGAACAGAGGCGATACCTCCAGGATTTGGGTTCAGATGTTAAGTAATTTGTTTATAAATACAGCTGGACTTCATTGTAAACAGCATACTCTTTTAGAGGATATGTTGACCTGATCAGTGAACGTCGGTATATTATGGTCGAACTGACATGGTTGTATGTAGGCAATTGACCTGATCAGTGAACGTCGGTATGGTAGAACTGACATGGTTGTGTGTAGGTAGTTGATTTGATCAGTGAACGTCGGTATGGTAGAACTGACATGGTTGTGTGTACATGTAGACTGTTGACCTGATCAGGAAAGTGGGTATGGTCCAACTGACATGGTTGTGTGTACATGTAGACTGTTGACCTGATCAGGGAAGGTGGGTATGGTCCAACTGACATGGTTGCGTGTACATGTAGACTGTTGACCTGATCAGGAAGGTGGGTATGGTCCAACTGACATGGTTGCGTGTACATGTAGACTGTTGACCTGATCAGGAAGGTGGGTATGGTCCAACTGACATGGTTGTGTGTACATGTAGACTGTTGACCTGATCAGGAAGGTGGGTATGGTCCAACTGACATGGTTGTGTGTACATGTAGACTGTTGACCTGATCAGGGAAGGTGGGTATGGTCCAACTGACATGGTTGCGTGTACATGTAGACTGTTGACCTGATCAGGAAGGTGGGTATGGTCCAACTGACATGGTTGTGTGTACATGTAGACTGTTGACCTGATCAGGGAAGGTGGGTATGGTCCAACTGACATGGTTGTGTGTACATGTAGACTGTTGACCTGATCAGGAAGGTGGGTATGGTCCAACTGACATGGTTGTGTGTACATGTAGACTGTTGACCTGATCAGGGAAGGTGGGTATGGTCCAACTGACATGGTTGCGTGTACATGTAGACTGTTGACCTGATCAGGAAGGTGGGTATGGTCCAACTGACATGGTTGTGTGGTCGTACATGTAGACTGTTGACCTGATCAGGAAGGTGGGTATGGTCCAACTGACATGGTTGCGTGTACATGTAGACTGTTGACCTGATCAGGGAAGGTGGGTATGGTCCAACTGACATGGTTGCGTGTACATGTAGATGTAGACTGTTGACCTGATCAGGAAGGAAGGTGGGTATGGTCCAACTGACATGGTTGTGTGTACATGTAGACTGTTGACCTGATCAGGGAAGGTGGGTATGGTCCAACTGACATGGTTGTGTGTACATGTAGACTGTTGACCTGATCAGGAAGGTGGGTATGGTCCAACTGACATGGTTGGTGTGTACATGTAGACTGTTGACCTGATCAGTGAAGGTGGGTATGGTCCAACTGACATGGTTGCGTGTACATGTAGACTGTTGACCTGATCAGTGAAGGTGGGTATGGTCCAACTGACATGGTTGTGTGTACATGTAGACTGTTGACCTGATCAGGGAAGGTGGGTATGGTCCAACTGACATGGTTGTGTGTGTACATGTAGACTGTTGACCTGATCAGGAAGGTGGGTATGGTCCAACTGACATGGTTGTGTGTACATGTAGACTGTTGACCTGATCAGGAAGGTGGGTATGGTCCAACTGACATGGTTGCGTGTACATGTAGACTGTTGACCTGATCAGGTGAAGGTGGGTATGGTCCAACTGACATGGTTGTGTGTACATGTAGACTGTTGACCTGATCAGGGAAGGTGGGTATGGTCCAACTGACATGGTTGTGTGTACATGTAGACTGTTGACCTGATCAGTGAAGGTGGGTATGGTCCAACTGACATGGTTGCGTGTACATGTAGACTGTTGACCTGATCAGGGAAGGTGGGTATGGTCCAACTGACATGGTTGTGTGTACATGTAGACTGTTGACCTGATCAGGAAGGTGGGTATGGTCCAACTGACATGGTTGTGTGTACATGTAGACTGTTGACCTGATCAGGGAAGGTGGGTATGGTCCAACTGACATGGTTGTGTGAAGGTGGGTACATGTAGACTGTTGACCTGATCAGGGAAGGTGGGTATGGTCCAACTGACATGGTTGTGTGTACATGTAGACTGTTGACCTGATCAGGGAAGGTGGGTATGGTCCAACTGACATGGTTGCGTGTACATGTAGACTGTTGACCTGATCAGTGAAGGTGGGTATGGTCCAACTGACATGGTTGTGTGTACATGTAGACTGTTGACCTGATCAGTGAAGGTGGGTATGGTCCAACTGACATGGTTGCGTGTACATGTAGACTGTTGACCTGATCAGGGAAGGTGGGTATGGTCCAACTGACATGGTTGTGTGTGTATGTAGACTGTTGACCTGATCAGGAAGGTGGGTATGGTCCAACTGACATGGTTGTGTGTACATGTAGACTGTTGACCTGATCAGGAAGGTGGGTATGGTCCAACTTTGACATGGTTGCGTACTGACACTGGACCTGATCAGGGAAGGTGGGTATGTACATGGTTGACTGTAGACTGTTGACCTGATCAGGAAGGTGGGTATGGTCCAACTGACATGGTTGTGTGTACATGTAGACTGTTGACCTGATCAGGGAAGGTGGGTATGGTCCAACTGACATGGTTGTGTGTACATGTAGACTGTTGACCTGATCAGGAAGGTGGGTATGGTCCAACTGACATGGTTGTGTGTACATGTAGACTGTTGACCTGATCAGGGAAGGTGGGTATGGTCCAACTGACATGGTTGCGTGTACATGTAGACTGTTGACCTGATCAGGGAAGGTGGGTATGGTCCAACTGACATGGTTGCGTGTAGACTGTTGACCTGATCAGTGAAGGTGGGTATGGTCCAACTGACATGGTTGTGTACATGTAGACTGTTGACCTGATCAGGAAGGTGGGTATGGTCCAACTGACATGGTTGTGTGTACATGTAGACTGTTGACCTGATCAGGGAAGGTGGGTATGGTCCAACTGACATGGTTGTGTGTACATGTAGACTGTTGACCTGATCAGTGAAGGTGGGTATGGTCCAACTGACATGGTTGCGTGTACATGTAGACTGTTGACCTGATCAGTGAAGGTGGGTGGGTATGGTCCAACTGACATGGTTGCGTGTACATGTAGACTGTTGACCTGATCAGGAAGGTGGGTATGGTCCAACTGACATGGTTGCGTGTACATGTAGACTGTTGACCTGATCAGGAAGGTGGGTATGGTCCAACTGACATGGTTGTGTGTACATGTAGACTGTTGACCTGATCAGGGAAGGTGGGTATGGTCCAACTGACATGGTTGTGTGTACATGTAGACTGTTGACCTGATCAGGGAAGGTGGGTATGGTCCAACTGACATGGTTGTGTGTACATGTAGACTGTTGACCTGATCAGGGAAGGTGGGTATGGTCCAACTGACATGGTTGCGTGTACATGTAGACTGTTGACCTGATCAGGGAAGGTGGTTATGGTCCAACTGACATGGTTGTGTGTAGACTGTTGACCTGATCAGTGAAGGTGGGTATGGTCTAACTGACATGGTTGCGTGTACATGTAGGCAGTTGACTTTGACAGCAGGAACGATCAGTGAGCATGGGTATGGTCGAACTGGTTTCTGCTGTTCAATTCTTAGAATCTGGTACTGGTAATCTGATAGCAACCGACC